AGGGTCTCTTGCTGTCTCTACATAGGTGCCATTTACTTACAGCCATAACGGTAATGTCAAGTGCTTAAGTTGGGTGGCGATGCTGATGATGAGAGTGTATACGACTGAAACGTTGCTGCCCACACTACTGATATTAACACAGCATACCACTATTGAGAAAGAAAGTGCATCATCGTCTGGTTATTGCCATCTAGTCAATCTTCTCGTGGTTTCCTTCAGCCCCGTGTCGACTCCTCCGCCACAGACGGACTTCTTGCAACAGGTTAACGACAATTGGAATGAGAAGAGGCGCGGCGATCGGTAAATACACCGCCAAAGTGAACTCCTGACTGAAATAGCTGCTCGCGGATATGCTGTCATCGTAGAGAACATCGACGCTTTCCTCATAACTTTTCCTTGCCATTTCCAAAGCTACACCAATTTCATTCGCATCCACCTGGGAACATGAAAGCACGGTGAACGACGTTTTCTGACCATATTTAGCAAGGAGAATATACACAGTAGTGTTAGTGTCCTAATATCGTCGAATAGCATCCCGAGGCAACTCACCAGATCGTTATCGATGCTGTGTGCAGCCACTGCAGCTCGAGCCGCTATGTCCTGTGAGACGGCCACTTGAGGGAGGCTTTCAACCAGATCATCGAGCTGTATCAGAGTATTCCGTGTTGCATTGCGATAGAAGATAATTGCTTCTCGCACGAGTTCAAACACCTCAGGTATGGTCAGACCGTTAGTCGGATCGACACACAACCAGCCGACAGCTTCGTCGCAAGAGGGCACGGGTTCGAATCCCAGGTAAGCCCTCAAGTGTGCATGCCACATCCCTGTAGCATAGCCATGATCAGCCACTGATTGGACGAAGGCGACCACACCCCAGCCAGGAATGCCCACACTTGACTTGTCTGCTGGTCCAACTGTGACTGTTACATTATCGGGCGATACATAGGCGGCTAGACTGAACAGGGCGGAAGATCAGAAGCATCACAAGACAGAGAAAATTGTCTTTGCCTTACTGTATCGTGTGCGGTAGCTTCCTGTACCCACGCTTGAGGGTCTCAGGCCTCCCCCAACGGCTGGCTTCTGTCAGTAGTTGTCGCAGTTGCTTGACACTCCTCAACCGGTGAACACCATTGCGTTTAGTCTTGCGAGTCGCTGCAGGCAAGACGGCTCCGTGAACAACTTGTGAATCAACTTCAATGTCGAAAATCTGAGCAAGAGAGAGTAACTCCCCTCAACCACATTTCTCGTGCTACCTGCTGGAGATAGCCGTCAACAAGGGGCTTCATATAGTTATCGAACACATCATGCTGAAAGTCCCAGTGGGCTCTCGCAGAGTTAGCAGCGTCATTGACCAGCAAGAAGGTCAACTGCTGCCTAACACACAGTAGGCATGTAGACATAGTTTACTCAGCCCAGCCTACCGAGGACTGGACAGTGCAAATCCCATAGTCTTCCGGAAGTTGTCAGATCGCGCGGGGAACCATACAGTCTCATAGACCCACTCCACACCGAATGCGTGGTCACGGACATCAACGATTCTAAAAACGAGACGAAGTCGAGATTATCGTATCACAGGATTGCCATGGGCAGTTCGACAGAAGTTTACACTGACAAGTCATTATGAATCGATCTGTAAATTCGAAGTGATTCGAGAAACGACTACCGACGGATCAAACCCACGTTATGGAGCGACGGGACACTTACGCAAAATTTTCCAGCACAAGTGGTCTGTTCGACGAGGTGTGTTCACCAGAAGATGAATAAACGAAGACATGATAGCGAAGTCCATCTTCTAGAATTCCTGGTCTCCCTGAAAACCCAGCAGCGATGTTCCGCAACGCAGTAATGCAGCTCGACGATCTAGGATCAGTCGCACAGCCTGAATAAGAGAATAAACACATCCACAATGCATATTGGCGGGATACGTACCAGCCCTCTTGAGAGCGACTCGATGCTCTTCATTGAAGCAGCTGTCAACCACCGAGGCCCCAAAGGGCGCCCTTAGGCTCGGCACTGATAGCCTCACGACACTGTCATCTAGGGAACACGAATGAACCTAAACAAACAACGGAATGAATGTAGTCGTGAGAGAAAGATTTACAAATACAACTCCGCTCACCAGGACCGCAGGCCAATGCTTGCCATCATCTCTCATCGGATCAACTTGTGGCAAGGGATGTCTCTCCACCTTTTGTAACCAGGTCCAGACCAATAACATGGCTACTACGACAAGGCCGTATGATATCTGGGCTTTATGACGTGCCTTAATCGTATGCATAGGCTTGATCCATGAGCAGACAAAAACTATGGAGATGACTTCTACAGCAACAATGGCCATATCCGTGAGGGAGAATATATACGATTATGATATCGAGACGGCTAAGACACACCGTCGAGAGGCTGGTGTGCTTTTATCCCAAAGTTTTTCATGATTTGTGATTGCGTATCGCTCATTGACGTTATTGGCGCAAGACAGCTATAGAAACAAACAAATATGGATACCACTTGAAAATCGACATAGTGACCTCCATGATGTCGCCGAACTTAAGTTCTGGACTATGGTACTCGCCTCCTCCCACTGCGACTCTTGCCCTTCCAGAGTCCAGTCTCATCGAAGTCTTATGATTCTACCTCACGGTCGTGCCCATATGCTACCCCGCGCACATGTCGTAGTTACGTGAATCGAGCTTGATCCTCGAAGGACTGGAGACTCGACGGCAACAGTGTCTCTCAAGAGTGCCCCATTTCCTACGGCACGCAACACATCGTCGAGATGAGATGAGCCCTCCTAGTCGTTTTCCCCATACTTCCACTGCTAACACAAGCCATGTATAGGCAGGAAACTATCGATCTGACTTGACTTGAGAGCAGGAAATTCATATTGGCTCCTTCACAAATAGCTTACTAATCTCATATGAAACGATGGTCTGTGCACACGCATGCACGGACCACCACCATCATACTTATCTCGAAAGCGTCTCACTCTTCCTTACGGTTCGGGTCCGGGTCCGCGAGGAATTCCGCCGACACCCAGCCGACGCTACCGTTCTCTTTACGGACCTGAAATAGTAAACATAGCAGCCGAACGAATAATAGTAAATCCCAATTACTCTAGTCCAACCCGATTGATCCACTTCCACTACACGCACCAGCTCCCCTGCCTTGAGTGCCACCTGAAAATCGTCATAAATCAGCTCGACATCTCAACGCACCTCATCTTCCGAAGCCTTAGTATAGTCCTCTAGAACTTCTTTAATTTCTAACATATCCTCATCCTCGACGGCCCCATCGGCCTCTCCAACCAAAGTGGCCCCATTCGATGCCCCTGCAGCTTGCGTCATTTCTGCGACACGACAAACCACATTAATTCATAGTGACCCATTCTCCAACTACTACCAGCATCGCCCGGTTCCATACGTCGAACTTTCAGCTTACTCGACGGGTCCGTCAACAGCTCAGTGAGGATGCCCATCCACGAGTCGTCTACCGCCATAACGTCAACTTTCCCTAACAGTAAAGCCACTCTCCCCACATTAACCAAGGTCATCAACACTCACTTGTTTCCGGGTAGTACTGAATGAATCCCTTGTTGCCACTCGGTCTCCACGATATAGAGCGGGTCTCGATGTGTTCATCCCATTTCCCCGTGCCGAAGCCCGTCAGCCACGCCTTGAACTGTTCAGCTGTAACCGGCTCTATGCATTCAAAGTACCTGACCTCGCCAATCTCGACCCAACTTGACCGCTCTCGCAACTTACGCGCACTCCTTCATTTTTCCAGCGCTGTCACCACCGGCAACAGTCGTGTCACCCCTCAGCTGAGATCGTCTGCTTCTGAAGGCATCCTGATTCTGGGGGTTCACATCCACACAGCTGCCGCCCGGACCGGTACGGGTAACCCGAGATGCCATCGTGTTCGGAGGATCCCAACGAGTGAGTTTACGCAGGGTACCGTCCATAGAGCGGCACGAAGAGATCCTCACCCATTTGGAGTCTGACAATTTCTTCTGAAAAGTAAAGGCGATTACTGAAACTAACATCCTCATGAAGATTGTTCTAACCATAGAAGGAGCATAATTTTATACCATCACTCATATTCAACGTATAATATGAATAGAACTTCTTCAATGGGATGAGAGTCTCAGTGTATTAGTATCAACTCATCAATAGTTACGGGGAACCCATGAGAAGTGTAATTCGACCAACCACGAGATGCCCATGTATTACGTCCAGCCAGGTAAGCTTCTGCTTATCCCTGCTATAGCGTAAGATCCCCAAGGGCTTCAATGGACGTCCCTCTGGCTTAACCAGCGGTGGTCTGGAAGCTTTGTCACAATAGCACAGACGATTACCAAACCTGAGGAGTGCTCATTCGCTTCCCACTGGGACAACGCAACGGACCCCTTCCAAACTGTAAGACGACGATCGACCCCCCCTACCTATTATTAATGCTGGTCTCGTCAATTACATTGCGGAAGCGATTCTCCGCAGAAAGTTTGAGCAGATCACGGGATAAGGCGGCGACGAATGGGTCATAAGAAGGGCTGTCTTCCAAAGATGCAGACCACAACATCTGGACCACATGTGTACCTGTCGATCGAGTAGTGCCTCCAACCGGAAGTCTCGATGTACAGAAGGAATCGTACAGGAGTTTTCGCAACATCCGAACCGACTTACGTATTTTGGGCGCTTTTTTTCTGTCAACTATGATCGCCGGGAACACGAGGTGCAGCGAAACCTTGAAGGAGCCGCTATCCCGGCTATAGCCACTGGCCGAGAAAAGCGCGGCATCTATATGGGCCTTGCTTGGAAAAACCTGCACACATGTGGAATCCCGGATTCGCGATGCAACCACGCCTTACCGGAGACAGGTTCTTGAGTATGAACTCGAAGAATCGCGTGCCATCATCCTTGTCGACGATGCACTGCTCCGCTCTAACGCAGTGCTCCCATTTCTGATCGGCTCCCATCTTCACGTCAATGTCCATAACGAGATTGAAATTCTCATCTTGACGTTCAGTGAGGAACATAGGGATCCCCCAACGGTACAGGACGGGAATGTAACTGCCATGAAATCCGTCGCCACGAAGCCCCAAGGGCAGTCTACTTGTAGAGTTGTTCAAGCTGAGTGTGCTGGAATCTAAACTTATTCGTGGAACTGTACCATGCAGCAACACTGCCATAATTGCAGTGAGTAGCATGCCTAAGAAGTCTCATATAAGCTCCACCTCACTAGAAAAGAGCGGACTCACTTGTCTTCAGCTATCTCGGCTTCTCTAAGGAAGGAAGATATCTGTTCCAGCACTTCTTCATCGACATTCGCCAGGATCTGAGTTGGACACAACATTGAGAACCTGCCCTCCGTACTAGCTTATTGTCACACTAAAGACATGCATAGTAGCATCAGCAATTCCCGACGTATATGGCACTCCACTCGAGTATCTATCTATCTAGCGATTGGAGCCAAATATGCAACATGCGTGCCTATCTCTTTATATATCCACAGTTCATATTATTTCACTTCTACACTACTCATTTCTCTCAGGTCCACCCTTGCTGTAGGACAAGTGAATCAAGGGAAAAGCGATATGATGAAAGCTGTGTATAGTCACGAGCTCACGAGGTACCTCTTCAGCGCTGTCCTCTTTAAGATTGCTTCTTAGCTGAAGTTTAACATAATCCAAGGCGGAGATAGGGGAGGGCATCGTTGTGGAAGAATAGGGCCGTAGGGGAGACGATGGAGGGTAATAGTTGTCGAGGCAATGCCAAGAAAGCTAGCACTATCTCGTCAAAATGACGGGCACCGACGACCATCACAATACCCATCAAAAGAGTGTACCAAATCCTCAAGGGGCAAAAGAAATGTGCCCGTTTGAAACTAAAGTGTAAGACCCGGCCCATACACAACAAGTCTATCTCCACTCCAGAACACTGACTTTCTACTGAGGATCTTGCCCTTCCCACCCAAGCAATGTCGCGACGATCAGTTCCATTCATTACACCCATTCCTTTCCGTCACCGTGATAGGTTATGACTCCACTGTCTAGCCTTTAGAAGGGCATTTCCCATGCCCTTCAGATGCCCAACTCACACAGCCTATTCCAGGCCACAACTTCGGAGCTTGCTATCAGTTATTCCGGATTTGGGCCAGCCGACACTACTCAACAAATGTGGTCAAAAAATGAACCAGCACGCATGCGCAACCGAGTTATCCATTTAGCTGAACCAAACCCACAACAATGCTATCAATCTGAAAGAAATCCCCAGACCCTCCAACACCCTAGATAACCAAACATTGCTCTTATCTCTCGAAAAATAATGGTGTTGTCGGTGTTGATACTACCGTGGCGGCCACGACCCGAGGTCCTTCTAAACGTCCTTGTCGAGGTCACCACCCTCCTCGCTGCTGGCTACCACCCCCCAAGAGCGCCTGAGCCGCCTCCGCCCCAGCTCGGGCTGCCGCGTCTTGACCATCACTCTGACCTCCGAGATTCCGTGGGAACTGTAGCGGCATAGTGTTGGCGTTATCCAAGTGACCTCCAGGGCCCCAGGACTGATGTTGTTGCATCTGCTGAGCCCCACCCCAACCCTGGCCCGTCGGGGTCATTCCCCAACCCCCGATGGCTTGTTGAGGCATGGCATTCCATTGTTGTTGCTGGCCAGTCGGAGCCGGCAAGCCAGCGGGTGAGCCGCCCTCCACAAAGCCTTGGGGTCGGCTCACGATCAAACGCCGCCCAAGTACTTCCATCTAAGCGAGGAAAACAACAAAGAATCTCCTCCAGCTCGCCTCCCCCATGCTTACCCCGTTGAAAATGCTCAAGGCGGCTGTGGCTAGTCGGTCGTTTTGGAACTCCACAAAGGCGAATCTGAGACCACCACAGCCTTCCACCATCAACCTTCGAGTAAGCACTACCTCCCATCGCCTCTGATTTCCGCTTGCAACACCGGTGGTCCCAAAGCTGTGTCGTATCCGGGAGCACTTTACAGGCTGGCTCGATACTCATGAAGGACTTGCGGTGTCA